CCCCAAAACCCCAAAACCCCAAAACCCCATACCGAAAACTTTTACCAAATTTAACAAAATTAAAAATTAAAATTCCAATCATGTTTTATTTTCTAAATCTTTATATAAAAAAATAAATATTTTTAAACTAATTTATAATTATGATGGAAAAGCAGTAATAATAAAAGCAGAGGTCTCCCAGTATAGTTAAAATAAACTTAGAAATCGAGCCTTCCAGAATCAGAATCAGAAAGAATTATCAAAAATTAGAATTGCCTAAACACTAGCAAGTAAAATAGCCGAAAGGATCAGTTAGCAACACAATGAGTTAAATTGATCTACAGTCAATTCAAAGGACTCTAAATGAACTAAAGGGTTTTGATCCTTACCAAAATTAAAATACTGATTATGGTAGTTTTGGGAAAAGAAATAGTATGGGTGAGGCTCCTTCAAATTTCATGAGATTAAGGAGAAGTCTATGAACTTGAAACAATGAGAGATTCAAATCTCAGAGTACAGAGGATCCTAACAACTTAGAGTAGCAGAAATGCTAAAATAGAAAGATGAGTCCTCAAGCAATTATATACAAAAATTTGCAAATTTATAGGAATAACTTGAATCAAAATAAAAACAAATCTGATAAGGATCATTTTCGCCAACTAAGCTGCTCTTGATCACCAAACAAGAAAAACATTATTTGTAGTCCTAGTGTCCACGAAACTGATACAAGAACTCAATCTCGAATAATGAACAGGAAACTATCAGAGGACTCTTAGAGAGTCGAGAACTTTCTGGTTTCAGTGAAGAGTCTGCATTAGGACTTGGAATCGGAGAAAAAGCAATTCAACAATTTTAGATTGTACATAAAAACCTAACAAAATAAATTCTAGGAAGAAAATAACCAGCAACCCATGTTCATCAAGCTTCTTAATGAGACACAATAACATGACTAGGAATTAGAAAAACTCAGACTCTAAAAGATGAATGATGACAACGTACATAGGAAATAACTCATGCTATTAAGAGTTATTGGATTGTAGAAAATTGCTGGCTAATATAAATACTTTAGAGATGTTATGAATAAGAATTAGCTAAGCAAGAAGAATACTTAGCAAATTAATGATAACAATAGTATGCAACTATACTAATGATATACTACTTCCGAATAAAAAACAACTATCTATCTCAATAATAACTATCTATTATCTTAACTTGAGTGTTTTAATTCTCTATTACAAATAATTTTTGCTATATTTTATTTCATTTTCTTAGATCAAATATCAAATTTCTACTACAGGGGTTTTGGGGTTTTGGGGTTTTGGGG